AAACTTCCAGTGTTGGAGCATTCACCGCTTCTGGAGGCAGGTTGTTCCACTGGTTAATTGTTCTAACTGTCAGGAAGTTTCTCCTTAGTTCTAGGTTGCTTCTCTCCTTGCTTAGTTTCCACCCGTTGCTTCTTGTCCTGCCTTCAGGCGCCTTGGAGAATAGCTTGACTCCCTCTTCTTTGTGGCAGCCCCTGAGATATTGGAACACTGCTATCATGTCCCTCCTCGTCCTTCTCTTCATTAAACTAGACATACCCAATTCCAGCAGCCGTTCCTCATATGTTTTAGCCTCCAGTCCCCTAATCATCTTTGTTGCTCTTCTCTGTACTCTTTCTAGAGTCTCAACATCTTTTTTACATCATGGTGACTAAAACTGGATGCAGTATTCCAAGTGTGGCCTTACTAAGGCATTGTAAAGTGGTATATGAAGGGGAAAAAATTCTAAAACAACTGAGGGGTAATCATATTAATTATATTTACAAGTTTAACAGAAATCAAAGCTAGTCTTTTCCCTGACTCCCCCCTGCTTATTGCAGATACAGCTGAGACCCTGCCATTGCAAAGCTGTATCTTCCAACAGTACAACCTCAACAAAGCTAATCTGAAGTTTGTTTCTGTTTGAAAGACAGCCGCAGAACATCAGTTTTTAATGCAGGTTCAAAAGTTAACAGTGCTATAGAAACAACATGCATACATACACATTCCAATAAAAAGCAGCCGGATCAGATTAAAGGAATGGAATGTTATCAGGCAAATGCAATTCAGCACAAACACAGTGTAACATGAATCCAAGGAATGAAGAATTACTCAGTGGCAAGAGCCTAAATATAAATATCTAAATCAGTGGTTCTCAACCTTTTTAATGCCGCGACCCCAACCAGTCGTAAGTCGAGGACTAAACCGGTCGTAAGTCGAGGACTAAACCGGTCGTAAGTCGAGGACTATCCAACCGGTCGTAAGTCGAGGACTTTCCCTGCCCGGGAGCGCCGCGCATGCATGGTTCCGCCCCCTGCGCCAGCCGAGGCGTAGCTGGCAAGCGGCAGAGACGGAGCAGGCCGACCACCAGCTGGCCCAGCCCAAGGGAGGTAAGGCACCCGCCGGAAAAGGGGAAAAAATGGTGGACAAAAAAAATGGCGGACAGCCTTGCTTGGCGACCCCCATGAAATGGTCGATCGACCCCAAATGGGGTCCCAACCCACAGGTTGAGAACCACTGATCTAAATGTATTATTTATATTGATATAGGTACCGTTATCCTTTCCAGGCCAAAGGGCAAATTGCAGGAGCCCATACAAAGTGGGGGAACATAGCTCTAATGGACAATGTTCAACCAATCACAAAATACACATTTATCAAATTCTTGCCATCTTCACCAGCCCTCTGAATTATGTTTGTAGTCATCTATCATTATTTTCCAAGAATGCATGTAGTCTATGAGGCCCAAAGCATTCCTATATTTAATAAAGATTAAGTTAGAGACTGGCTTTCTGTGCTTCAACATATCCACTCCCCACACCCATCCCCTTTTAAACAAGAAAGCTGGAAGAATAAAACGTTAAAGTGTTCTTGAGTGAAGAGCTTGAAAATACCACAGGAAGTATCTATAGATATACTGATACTTAAAAATGCAGTGTGGGCAGCTTCAGAGTTATTTCAATCCAAATTTGAAATTTCTGATCATTCAGTGAGCAGCAAGCTGGTACCCATAATTCAGCAAATTATTCAGGGGCATGAAAATATTGTTTTGTCGTTCCAATCTTCCACGGACTGGGCAAAGCTATGAAAAGTAAGAGAATTATTTAGGACAAAGTTTATCCTTTATGTCTTCTCTTCGGTTCAGACTACATAAAAGACTATGTAAACTCACAATTCCCAGTTAGCACACAAGTTTCATCCTAACATAGTTGTAAGGTCTAAGGTTGAGGAAGACTGCTTTCATAGACAGCACTGTGTTGCATAAAGGAGTACTGACAAACAACAACATCCTTGTAGAACAGAAGGATGTACCCAGAATTTTACCTGGCCTTAAGCAAGCAGGGACACAGAAAGAGGCAGACAATTACTTTAGGTCATTGGGGTGGGCAACTATGACAACTTTACAACCTGTGGACCTCAATTCCCAGAATTCCTGAACCAACATGGCTGGCTCAAGAATTCCGGGAGTTGAAGGCCACAGGTCATAAAGTTGCTTTATGGCTTGGAGCCTCAAATAGTGCTTAAATTAAATTGGTCATTAAAGCTAACAGATTCAGAGGTGAGGTAGGAAGGAAATGGGTGCAGAGATGAAAGGATAGTGAGCTGGAGCCAACCCACCTTCTTCAACACTGCTGCTGAAATCGGCAAGCTCCAGGAGCTGGTCCAAGTGATTCATAAGCAGTGGGCCAAAGCGATGCATCCTGCTAAAAACAAGGATTGAGAAGGAACTTTAAAAGACAGAGCAGGACAAGCCTAGGAACTGTTTTTGCCTTAAGCTCAGCACAAGGCAAGGCCTGCTATGAAGCAATAAAACAGACTTGTCTTCAGCTTCTTCCCTTCGGTAGCCAAGCTCAACCTCACCGCTGCTTGAAAAATTCTGCAACAGGGCCCTCACATGTGTTGTAGAGTTTAGTTGGCCCTTTTCCTCCTCTGCCTTCCAGATAAATTGGTGTTTGAGTAAAAGACTTTCCCCCGTTTGCTATTTTTACTTGATTAACTTAATTTCAGCTTGACTGTCAATTGTCTAGTGGAGACGCTGATTCTCAGTCCATTGCGGAGTCTGCTAATGTTTTAAGGAGAAGAGGAAAAACAGTAGAAAGATTAAAATATATTCTGATATAAAACTTCTCCCAATGAATTACCAAATTACCCAGAATACCCAGCCATCCGCTAGTCATATTGTGTAAAATTCCTAGGAAATGAAGTCCAAATCATGGTGGATTTCTCTCTTTCGCTTTCTCGGATATTCCTGTTTTTAATCTAGAAAAACCATCCTTGCCAGACTGGGAAATTGAAAAATGAACGCGCGGGCGGGAGG